GGGTAGCGAAAAAAAGAAAAGGACTAAAGGAACACAACGTGACGAAGTTAATACATGCTTATGCGCTGAGCCACATAGCGTATGTCGCCGCGTATACCGACTGGAGCAGAAGCGAAACCGAGAAGCTGAACGCGGCGATTCGTCGAGCGTTCAAGGTAGCCCTGGGTGTGCCCCAGTACACGGAAATCCGTCGGCTTCTGGAGCTGGGTGTGCACAACACCCTCGACGAGATAGCAGAAGCGCAGAGGATCGCGCAGCTCGAGAGGCTGTCTGGCACAAGAACGGGAAGACGCATTCTCGATCTGCTTGGCATTCGATATCACGAGGCGCGTGAACTGAAGGAAGCATTGCTACCGGAAGTCAGGGACGCCATTCTGACAGAAAACAACCCCAGAAACATGCACCTCGTTCACGACTTGCAACGACGCAAATGCAAAGCTGCAGCAATCCTGAAAGCGCATGGAAGCCAAGAGGGTGTCCTCTTCGTCGATGCGGCCAGGTATCCGCTGTCAGCCGGCGGCGGCGATGCGAGACGCTCGGAACCCCCGCCGCTACCCGTGAACGAGCGAGGCGAAGTCGAGGCGCTAACACTACCACCACTGCTACTGCTACAACAACAACGACTGCAGCGACAGCGGCAACATCAACAGCGAGTCCGGTCAGCGGCGGAGGGACCTGCTTTCTCTATGGCGGTCCTGGATACAACAGGAAAGGTTCGGGTCACGGCATCAGCACGACTGCCATCATCCGAAGCTGCAGAAGAAATGGCCATAGCTTTAGCGGTACTCCACAGCGGTGCAGATGACAGCCTGATTATTAGCGATTCTAAATCAGCGATTCGGAGCTATATAGATTCGATCTGGGTGTCCGAGGAGGTGGCATGCATGCTTAACGCCAGAGCTGGGGACTTCGCGTCAGGCAAGATTACTGACAAGGCCCTCAAGTGGTTTCCCGCTCACATGGGGAACAGTGGAACTATCAACAACAACAGCCGTAAAACTAGCAGCAACAACACCAACAGCCAAAGACTAACCGGCATCCCACCCAACCATAACGAGCGCGCCCACCTCGTCCCGAGGCTCTTACCCGCCGCGATGCAGCCACCAAGGGAGCAGCCGCCACCGTGGTCGGGAAGAGCACCGGCCGAGGCATGGTGGTGGCCACAGGCACTGGCAATGCCGAAATTACCACCCCCACCACGTCCGTTGCTGCAACAACTGAAGTTGGTGCAGAAGAGGTGAGAAAACAGAGGTGCACCGACTGCTATGGAGAAGAATTTCCTGCCACGTACCACGACGTGCTTGCGCACTATAGGAAAGACCGGAAGAAATTTCCGCAACCCCACGTGCGCTTGGACAGGTCGCAGGCGGTGGACCTGAGAAGGCTGCAGACGGGCACGCTCACCAACCCCTACTATCTGCACCACTTATGGCCCACGCTGCACCCGTCGCCTGGCTGCCCGTGGTGCGTGCACGAACGGGCCGATATGGCACATATACTTTGGCAATGCGAAAGAGATGAAGATAGGCCACGAGAAAGGATGACGTCAACTGAGGCACCCACTGAAATGGGGCACCTTGCTGAGCGATGGCAAGCCGCCCTTCTCAGCGAGGCCCTAGAAGATCAGGTGTGGGCCCTCCAGCGGGCCAGGGCCGTCGCCGAGGACCTCAAAAGATGTTCCTCGAACGATGTGTCTCTGGCAGCCTAGCCCCGGGCACAGCAACAACCGTTGGGCAAATAAAGTTTATTCAATCAATCCGCTCGTAATGAACCGATTCGAAAAAGTTGTGCCGCAAAACGTTCCTCATCAGACACCCAACAACTTCCACTGTCTAACTAAAATTCGGTATGGGGCCTGGTGAGTGGCCCTATAACAAATACCCGACGTCAGTAGCATCGACCCGATGAGTCCCAGCTGGAATCGAACCCAAGCCTTGTGGGTGCCAATGAAGCACTTTACCACAGAGCTATGCGAGGTCTCGGAACTACTTTTCAAATAGACGCTAATCTTCGTGAAACGTTAATAGTGGTTGCAGTGCTGCCTACCCAATTTTATAAACATACATATATACTATATTGATAGAGCCGTCACGGCGCGGTAACGTCAGATGTCTTTAGTTGCCATGTGCTGAAGTTGATTTACGTAGCAGTGTCCGGGGCCAGCATCTTCGCAAACATCAGCGCTTCATATCAGCCTCTGGTGTTGCTAATGCTCAGATTGCAGCCGTTCATTGCAGCTCACTGCATGGCCTTTCAGCAGTATATCACTTTCTAATAGGAATTCAGTCCACATCTTGAATATCACTTTTCTAGAAGCAATGACTGCACTTTTCGTCCCCCTGCCTGCATCTGCATTGTCCGTTTCGCTTTTTGACGCAACAGATTACGTCGCTCTTTCTAGACGGCTAGGCTACAACTCGTGCGCTTTCAAACGGATGTTTGGAATACATATAAAATGACAAGACCTTTTCGCGACTCCTCAAATATAGAATTTGGCCAACTGAAAAATTGTCCGCCATGCAAGTTCAAACTACAGAAATTATGTAGACCACTTGAAATTACTTGAATGTGCTGATGGAACCGAAGCGCGAATGCCGACATCCTCTGGATCAAAAATGGCAGCCACTTCAAAACCAGTGTAACCGAACCAGCAAGGCCCCCAGTACTACTGGTCACTGCGTTGAATAGCGCTGGTGCTATTCAGTACACTGTAAAGTTCTGCCAGATTTCGCAATGACGGCATTTCGAGCCAATCAGGGAGGCCATAGTAATCATAGGTAATTAGAGTTTACCAGTGGAGGAATGCCAAGAATAGCACTCCGTAATGTAACACAGCAGTATTGTGCTACGTTCGGGGTAAACAGGAGTTTCCCCGTAGAATCGAGTAACTCTCCTGTTGGTGCGTCTTAGAGGAACCTAAGTTTCGTAGAACACTTGCTCTTGAACGTTTTGGCGTATAGTAGAGAAACGCAATTGACCTCTTAATCTGCCCCAGAAAAATGGTGTTCTGGCCGCAAACACTGCAGGCATTCTGTGCGTCAGAGGACAATGTGGGTTTCAAAACACTCTCCCTCTCCCCTCCAGTGCGTGAATTTGCTTTAAAATGACCTTTAGGATACATGCAGGCAGAAAAGGCGTGTTAAACGATGTAACATTGCTTGGTGTAGCGTATTGTCGCACGAAATGCCATTGCGGGAGACTTGGCGGTGCAGGGCTTACTACTGATTGCAAACGCGTGTGAAAAAGTTTATCTTCAGCCACAGGATTAAACAAGTGCGCAGCTATGTAGGTGCTTGTATGCCCTTACAATCTGTATGCCCTTTATATAATGTCTTCTCACTTTTGAGAAAAAAACAGAAGAAAACGCTCGCATAAAGCGTTCAATAGCTTTATTCTACGTAAAAAATGCAGCATATCCACGGAGTGAATGATGGAGAGTGGGACGAAGCATTCATCCGTCCATGCGTCCGTCTGTGTGACCATCCATGCGTCTGTTCGTGCGCCCGTCCCGTTCATGAATCCGCCTCTGCGTCCGTTCATGCGTCCATCCATGCATCTGTCTGTGTGTCCGTTCGTCCATCTATTCAACACTCCAAGTCCCACCATCTCACATCTTTCTATCATATATTCCCATATAGAAGCACCGCCATTCAGTGGACATTCCAAGGACTAAACAAGAGGTGGCACACGCACTCTTTCTCACGGCTTGCGCTTCGGGTCAACATCCCACCTTCAACCACCTTGAGTTCATGGTATATACTAGTTCACTGTATTCATGGCACTGAGGCCCAATGCTCGCTAAACCTTTCTAAAACGAAGGAGGTTACGCCCAGCGAGTATAACGTAGAAACCTTTTCCTGTCAGATAGTGCTCAATGTACATGCCAGTGGCTGCTAATGTGAAATGAGAGACAGGAGGATTCAGCTTTTAATTTCTTACGGCTTGCGCTTCGTATCTGCTTCCCCCCCTTTAACCACCTCGAATTCATTCATGGTATATACTAGTTCATTGTATTCATGGCCTACGGCTCAACACTCGCTAAACCTTTCTAAAACTAAGGAGGTTACACCTAGCGAGTATAATGTAGCAACCCTTCCTTGTCCGATAGTGCTCAATGTACATGACAATGGCTGCTAATGGGGATCGCAGCGTGCGCGTTGACTAAAAGCCGGATGCTGCTGTCTCTCATTCCCCATTAGCATCCATTGGCATGTACATTGAGCACTATTTTTTATTGTTAAACAACGCACAGAAGAAATCTCTCACCGGCACCACCTTGGAGGTCGAATGTTATACCTATTTCGGGTATGTGCCACTGGTGGTTACGTACTACGAGGGACGCACAAGCCACGTCATAAGGAGCTTCGCCCCTAAAACCTCACATACTTGCATGTTGCAGCTCATTGGTGTTACAAGAGTACAGCCCCGCTATCGCCTTGCCAGGCTATAAGAGGAGCGCAAGACCTGTCAATGTTTTTCCAGTTCATCTTTGTTATTGCACATACTTGTAGTGGTGAGAATTAGCCCACTGTGCAGTGATACAGCACACAAGTTTAATATCGCATGTGCACGTGTTGGGTACTTACCGTCGAGGCTCATCACAAGACACTGCAGACGTAGCAAGTATTTAGGAGAAATGGCGCACAGTGGCGACTGTATTTTATCAGCTCTTGCAGCCTCTATACAAACACTTCTAAGACTACGCTCTTATGATGCAAGAGTATGCTCCTCATCACGTGGCCTATGGGACGCAAAAACAACAACAAATAATGCGAGACACTGAAGATATCTAATTGATGTGCCACTGAAGTCAATATCCTTGAATTGAAAACATATCTGTAAGGAAAACTACGAAACATAACACCCAGGTATGGGATCCCGAACAGACAGCCGATACCACGCTGAAACGTACGATATTATTCCGCATTGTTCAATCGAATTCCACGCTCTATTTCGTTTCTACGCTCTTTCGGTAACGAAGTACTTCGCGCCACAGAAAGTCAATCGAAAAATGTGCATTTTGAGTTTGCACTCATGGGCGACCCGAGGGGGCAACCGAACGCTTCTGCAAAGGGGTAGAAGTGTCGGAGCGGCACATTGCACTCTTGCTGACTGCCTTCTTTGGAGCAGAGTGCGTAGCAGTGGGTCATAAAAAACAACTGGTCATCAGAGTACTCCTCGAGGTCTCGAACTCGCAAGTCCTGTACGGAGTGTCCACTGCCTTGAATCTCCTGGACGGCCACTTTGTACGCCGAGAAAGACACCTCAAGCGCAGGTATCCAAGGAAAAATGCCCATCACCCGATGTCCGGCCGCCTGTCCTAATTCACATCTAAGCCGTTGGTTGTATTCGGCAGATAGTGTCTGGCCCCACCAGGTGACGTTTTCCCCATACTCGTTGACTGTCGTGCCTAACGGGTCGATGGCCTTAGCTATCTCTCTGGCCAGCAGGACTCCTGAGCCACCGTACTTCATTGCGAGAGTGCCACCCGTGTAGAAAAGTGGCGGATCAAGCGCCGCCGTGGCAGCGTCAACGGAATTGCGGAGATACGTGTACGCATATGGTTCTTGGTGAAATGTGCGTCTTTTCTGGTAGACATCGTAAAAGCGGGCGTGGTTTTGCAGCTTCTGGTAGAATTCCGCGGTGGACAACCAGCTGTCTACGAATGCACTCGTACTTATGTCTGGAAACCTTGCGTAAAGTCCGGCGCGCACGAGAGGAATGAAGAAATGCTCGGAGGGCAGGATGTTCAGTTCGGTGTTGTTGATCTTTCGTTCACCCTTTTCCGCGCTTTCTCGGTCAATCCAAGCGCTGCTCTTCAGAGCAGATACAAACTCATTTTTCAGGCTTTGCACGAAGCTGTAGACGCGTCCGCGTACCTCGTCCGTCGGATAGGTCCGATTCAAATACCCAGTGGAAGGGAGAAGTCCAAAGAGAGAGTTCACGTACTCCAGGCACGCTAGTTGTACTTTTTCACGGTCGTTGTCACGGAACATAAGCTCTGGCTTTGCGGCCGCCACCCACAGGTGAGTCTGTATAAATATCCAGGCAGTGCCCATCAATATTTGTGAATCGGGATAAGCGCGGAAAAGCTCGTCAATATTTTTCAGGATGAGTGAGTCTTCGACCACCACCCAGTCCTTGGGATTCCAATTGCGCTGAAGTGTGATGCTGTGTTGACGGTTGAGAAGCTCGTGCCACTGGACTTCCCTAATATGCGGTGTCTTGCTATCAAGTTGAGAGATCGCCAGCCATGACTGATCACCCTCGCTGTTCTCATACCGCGTGGCTTCGATTAAGAACGTTTCTAGCTGACGCAGGAGTGAGGCATTGTACTGCACGTTCTTTAGGCCTAAGACGTGCATGTGATCACGGATGACCGTCGCGTACTCTTCCATGTTCATGGTATTCTTAATGCGATTCTCCCAGACGACGCCATGATACCGCCTACGGAATATCAAAATAGGGCCAATGACCTTGCTGGGGACAACGTCTAGGTGGAACTGGAAGTTTGTGTCGTATTTTGCGGCCATGTAGAGCATCACTTCCAGCGGGTGCAGTAGAGAATCGTTGGCATCTCTGACTGGCCAGATGAGGCCAACTGCATCCATGAACTGGAGCAGCGCTTCGACGTTAGTAGCCGCCTGCACCTTCGAAGGTTCGTAACACTGGTAGTACAGTTGACTGGCTCCACCAACATGCAGCATGTCGCTGTTAAGCTCCACAATCTCGTTCTTCTTGGCGTCCTGGTTCATTTTGTCGAGAACAGAAAGCGTGGTGTAGTCGCGTTTCCAGCCACTGCAGACGAATGCATAAAAGTCGTTGCAAGGATCGCCGCTGGCATTTACCGTGTGCCGTAGCCGCTCGGCGTGTTCCTTGCACGAGTCGGAGACGCAGTACCCTACCGTCTTTTTCGTCCAGATTAAGACGATGTAGACAATGATTACAGCCACCATCAGTGTGCAGCATACGGTGGCTGTGACAGCCAGCTGAAAGATTTTCCGCTTCGCTTCTTGATTTGTCTCGAGCGTGGAGGGTTGCGGCATCTTTGAGGATCCGTCATCCTGTGCCAGGGACTGAAAAACAAGGTAGGCAGCATCACGAGTAGGCATCATCCCACCTAGGGACCAGTACTATGCTATATATACGACACAGGAATGTTGGAAGACTTCTAGGCTCAGCGGCGAAACGTGGCTAAACAACGCCCTCTCGATGTATAGGTGTACGAGCACCAATGATTGCAATAGATAAGTCTACCTCCGTTGTGAAGGAATCCTACGTCAGACACTTATCGTGCCTTCGCATTCGTTGCCTCAATACTGCACCAAATCGATCACGCCTCCACGTGTGATCCTTTCATTTGGCAGCCCTGGCCTTGTTACAAGCGTTTTCGAAGCTGTGTAACTGCCTTCCCTCTTTTTTGTTATTTTGTCGTTCCTTTTAATATTGGAGCTATGCTCTGAGCCTTTATCCGCAAGGGGCAGCATTATGACCATACCATTTTCAAGGTCCGTTCGCCCCCACGTCCTGCAGCCCGTGTTTAGACGTGCAGGACGTGTTCTAGAGTTATCTGGACATCCAAATAGCTATACAAATTCAGGACTAAGCACGTGCAGCCAGTTCTTTGCGCATGCGCGAACGCGTGGACCACCAAAACGTTGACCCCGACGATAGCGATTCTCGCGGATTACGTCAAGTGCATATGTGCTGTTACATAATTTACCCGCTTTGTTTTATGATTAACAGATGGTACAGTGAATAAGTACTGCATTGAAAAGAAATATGTAGTAGTAAATGAATACTGCCCCAGACCGGTGATCTCATTAAGAAAAAAAGGACTACTAAATGCAACGCAATATATCACTATACAGCACTACGTACGAGTAAGCACCATTTTGGCAATTAAGTACCTATTAACAGTTCGGGTATAACGCCCCAAAAGCATGTATGGTCCATGCGACACAGCTGCATTCCATAAATTACTCGCAGAAATGTCTGGTATTACCCTTCTTCGAATTTCTATTCTAAACGGTAAGAAGTCCGCTACAACGTTCCTAGGAATAACCAATTTGAGTTCATTACAGCGTAAAAAAAACAAAAAACTTGGCAGATCTCACGTACAGTGGGAATCAACGATATGCGACGCTTGAATCAGGAGGATTGATATGTCACTTTAAAATCAGCATACCGTTATGAGGTGGACGTAAATTATGGTTTACATTACTTCCATGTCATGATTACTTTGTTTGGGCCAGACATTTGTATTCTTCGTCCATTCACGTCACGTAATACCACATATACCAAATTCGGTATATGCGAAGCTAGCGAAACGGCCGCGTGCGCGCCATGAGTGTAGCATGAAGTCATGCTTTACATGACACGCATGTCATGATAATCATGTTTGGGCACGTCATTTACCTTCATAGTCTATTCACGTCACGTAAAACCAAATTTGGTGCATGTGAAGCTAACGAAACGGTCACGGGCGCATCATGAGCGTGGTATGTAGTCACGTTCTTACATGACAAGCATGTCATGGTTATCATGGTTAAACGTGTCATTTTCTTCTTCGTTCGTTCGCGTCACGTAATATCGAATTTGGTATATGTAAAGCTAGTGAAATGGCCGTGAAAGCATCATGAGCGGGGCGTGTAGCCATGTTCTTACATGACACGCATATCATGATTGTCATGTTTGCACCAGTCGTATACCTTCGTCATCCATTCACGTCACGTATTACCAAGTTTGGTGTAAGCGAAGCTAGTGAAACGGCCTCTAGCATGCAGTCATCTTCTTACATGACACGCATGTCACTATTTCCATGTTAGGGCCTGTAACCTATGTTCAACAAGTAGTCATGTCATACCGTACCCGTTTGGCAATATAGTGAGTGAACGAAACCACTGTTAGAGTAGCAAGACCATAATAACATGTAAATCATTGCATTCATGACCTACACGTCATGATTTTCATGTTATGACTAGTCAGTTATGCTTGTACTGCACTCATGTTAGCCATACCAAGTTTGGTATATATCCGATTATCCAAACGGCCAGCAGAGCTAGAAGTCGTAGGTCGTTAGATAGATAGATAGATAGATAGATAGATAGATAGATAGATAGATAGATAGATAGACAGATAGATAGATAGATAGATAGATAGATAGATAGATAGATAGATAGATAGATAGATAGATAGATAGATAGATAGATAGATAGATAGATAGATAGATAGATAGATAGATAGATAGATAGATAGATAGATAGATAGATGTGATAGGAAGCTACACACCTGCAAAGCTTTAGAACGTGCATTTGCAGATTGATTTGTGGAGTTTAACGTCCCAAAACTACCATTTGTTTATGAGAGATGCCGTAGTGGAGGGTTCCGGAAATTTCGACCACTTGGGGTTCTCTAACGTGCACCCAACTCTGAGCACACGGGCCTACAACATTTCCGCCTCCATCAGAAATGCGGTCGCAGACGCCAGGATTCGAACCCGCGATTTGCGGGTCAGAAGCCGAGTATTTTAGCCTCTAGACCTCTGCGGCGGGGCGAACGTGCATTTGCATCGATTTCGAATTGTAACTTAATGCAAGCCCATACAACAAGATATTGTACCATGAAGTAATGGGTGTGAAAAACCTTTCCACTGCATAAAAAAGCCGATTTTTCATAGACTAAGCACTAAGCTGGCTCATTAACCACATAGAAACTTGGTCCCACGAACGCAGCTTTTAGGCTGTCCCAATGTGTTACCGCCATTATGTACGAGCCATAAAGTGCGGCAGCAAATCAGGCTAAAACGATAAGGTAGCTTATCAAGTATACCAAAGCGCTTCTTAAACAAATAGGCAAAAAAGGTTGTCGAAATCACAGTATTAAAAAACGACAGACCGTAATAGGGAGGAAGAGGGATTCTCTGGCTAATATTTCAGCAGCCTTTCAGATTTTTTTCAACCTACGTCTGCATCTTAAAATAGTGTTTTTTATGAATTTCTACTATGAATAAATAGTTACCGGGCCCATAACTCATACTTGCGGCTACAAGCTTCGCAGGCCAACGCAATAATCTCTACCCTACCATAGTGGCCTGAAATTCACAGCACTAGGGGGCATCTCAGTGTTTCATAACCTCTCACGTTGCTGCCGTCGCATTTAAGTGCATAATTACCTTCTCTGAGCAGGTAACATGTTATGCCACGTTCAGCCAATAAAAATCTAAGCAGATAGCACAGGAAGAAGTTCTGAAAGTTCACTCGGATCACCCGCCCGGCGAATCCAGCCTCTGATTGTATAACTATCGAGAACAGGAGCCTGAAACATTGACCACTGCGCCACAAAGGCATAACGGAGCAAACCGTTATATAGGACTGCCCACTTGACAAACAAAGCCATCACTTAGATAGGCCGCCTCAAAAAAATTCGCAGATCCCACGTACAGTGGGAATCAATAATATGCGAGGCAAGAATGAGAAAAGTTGATATGTCACTTTAAAATGAGCACAGTGTTACGAGGTGGAGGTAAACTTTGTCGTACACTACTTTTATATCATGATTATCAAGTTTCGACGTGTCATTTCCCTTTGTCATCTCTTCACGTCACGTGATACCAAATTTGGTATGTGTGGAGTTAGCGAAACGGCCGCAAGCACGCTATGAGCGTAGCATGTAGTTAAGTTTTACATGACACGCATATTGTGATTATCAGATTTGAACGTGTCATTTTACCTTCATGGTCTATTCACGTCACGTAATACCAAGTTTGGCATGTGCGGAACTAGTGATACAGCCACGGGCACCCTATGAGCGTAGCATGTAGTCATGTTTTACATGACACGCATATCGTGATTATCATGTTTGGACGTGTCATTTACCTTCGTCGTCTACTTACGTTACGCGATACCAAATTTGGTATACGTTGAGCTAGCGAAACGGCCACGAGCGCATCACGAGCGTGATATGTTTCCATGTTCTTACGTGACACGCATGTCATGATTATCATGCTTGCATCAGTCATATACCTTCGTCATCCATTGCGTCACGTAACACGAAAATAGGTATATGTGAGTCTAGTGGAAGGGCAGCGAGCGCATCATGAAGGACTCAATATACTCCGACGCAACGCTGGCGTGCACGCACGCTGGGCGCAGCGACGCTTCGCTAGCACAACGCGAGAACTCTATAGTCTGACGCCAGGAGCGACCGGCGCGACCAGAGTCCGTCGGCGCGGCCCGGCGGCAACCGGCGCGAAATGCGACATGCTGCACTTCGCGCCGACGACGTTACCCAGACAGCTCCACGTCTGCCTTGACGGAGGGACGCCGGGCGCGCTTAAACGTGCATGCATCAAAGCAAAGTGGCGCGGCGCACGCCTGCGAGTATATGGCAGGCAAATCGGCGCCTTGCGTGGCGTATCGCCGGCGTGACGCCACAAGACTAACGCCGGCACGCACGTGCACCGGCCCACGTCAAAGTGTATTGGCGCCTTTAGTGTGGCATGTAGTTCAGTACTTACATAACACGCATGCCATGATTATCATGTTTACACAAGCCACGTACCTTCGTCATTCATTCAAGTGATGCAATACCGAATTTGGCATAAGTGAGGCAGTGAAACGGCCCCGAGCGCATCAAAAGTGTGGCATGTAGTCATGTTGTTACATTACACGCATATGATGATTATCATGTTTCGACGTGTCATTTACATATGTCGTCCGTTCGCGTAATGTGATCGCACCAATTTCGCCAGTAAAACGAAAACTGAATCTTGGAAAGACACATTCACTACGTTTCTAACTCCAAAACGCGGCAGTAAGCAATTCACGGGGAGCTTAAGTGCGGAGTACACCAGCAATGCCTCATTCAGATGAAAAGGACGGAGATGGGAGCATACACACCATTCACATGTCGCGTGAGCAGTATTCATCGCAGATTGTCGTCAAAGACGCAACTACAGTGCAAGAACACCTGTCCGTGGGACGTAACTGCGACACGGACGAGACGAAGTAGCCACAGCCTACTTTATGCGGTTGGCAACTGGCCACGTGGTGAAGCACCCCATAGAAAAGTTTACATGTTAGAAGCAGCAACATGAATTGGGTCACGTTTG